CGGGACGGACGGACGGAAGGACAGACGAGAGGACCGTGTGCCACGGGACCCGGATCCCACCCCGCGCCGGCCACCCACGACCCTCGAGTGGCGCCCCCGGGACCCTCCGATCCGAGGCTGCCGGCTTTCCGGCGTGACTCATCCCTTCCCGGGTGTCCGCGTCCCCACGTGCGTCTTTCCGCGGCGGAGCCGGGATCGGGGTAACCGAGTTAGCGGACCGCCTCCAGGCTCCCGCCGAGAAGTTGGCAAAGCCGCGTCCCAGCGGCTGCTTCTGGTCGCCCGGACCGACCTGAACTTGTTTGACAGACCTAGAGTCTGTGCCGGAGCGACCCCGGGGGGCGGGTGTCCCCCATGGGCAGCCTTTTCCTATCCCTGTGCTTTTCACAGTAAAACTGGGATACTGTAATCCAAGCATGGCGATGATTGCCTGGTGGGGCTGTTGCAATCGCCACCTTTTTCGTTTTTCTGTGGGTACTGCAGGCCTTAAGCAAGTTCTTGCCATTGTGTAACTTGCCTTTTCTCTTTCTTCATAGGGGCACTATGAACGAAGAGGAGCAGTTTGTAAACATTGACTTGAACGATGACAACATTTGCAGTGTTTGTAAACTGGGAACAGACAAAGAAACACTCTCCTTCTGCCACATTTGTTTTGAGCTAAATCTCGAGGGTAAGGACGCTGTGCTTTTAACTGCATGCCATGAACTTTGTACAACTTTTTCTCAAATGTTTGAAGGTAAAACTGAAATTGCTTGAATGCCCAGAGACTGTGCTAAGTGATGATCTGCTAGTTTTCTGGAAATGAAGCCAGAGCTAACAGTTATAAACTGAGGAAATGTTTGTCTTTAAAACTCTTAACATTGTTAACCTCATTTTCACTTAAGATGAAATGAAGGGCAGGTATTGTCTTGTCAGCATGAGAGTTTTTAGCACACATATCTCTATTGTGTTAAGAATCGACATGACCATTTACTCAGGCAGATGTAATTTTATTCCTTTCAACCCAGACTCTTAGTCACTATCTTCCCATCTTGTGGAAAGCTTCAAAAATTTGAAATAACATCCATTACTTTTAGTCATTTTTAAAAACCAAAAGGACTTTAAATTTTTTCTTGGTGGTAGTATTACTGTGAGAATTTGGAAAAGAAACTCTTCAAAAAGTAAAATAAACCTTTTGCTGAAGGTTAGGTTGGTGCATAGTTAACTGGGCCCTGGATACCAGTAGCTTATTTCCAGGAAACATGGGATTTAACCTTAACTTCTCACATAGTCATAGTGAAACCCTGAATCTTTTCAAGTATGTATGAATCACACTGAAAGGACATATGAAAATTCCCAAAAACAAAATTTGCCTTTTGAATTTTGAGGCTGTAATGTGTTACTGGAGAAAACCTTACTAGATACTAGATATATAGATATAGATATAATACTAAATATCTAGATGTTTGAGGTTTCAGTTTGAAAATAGCATTCATTTTGCCGTGGCCTAAGTAGTTAAAGATTCCATGATCTTTTATTTATATATTTTTTGGTTAGGAGGTGCAAAATTTCCTTATGTGAACACACACACACACACACACACACACACACACACACACACGCGATGTGATCCTAGACTTTGATGTTCCTGTCAGGACTTGTTACTTAGGATGTTGCAGCTTCCAAATAGTGTGTCATGGAGCACCACAGAGCTTCTGTGGCTTAAGGAGAATGCCTGCGACTCTGGCTTTAGTAAATGTGGTGATTACAGCTAGTTTTAAAAGGATGACTTAGAAGTCTGATCCTCAAGTAGAGTTTGCATGACCATGCTCTGCCCACAGTGAAAGGGGCACACTCATGCTCTTCCCCGTGAATTCTGACATCATACGCAAGTTTACATTTTAGAAGGGCAGAGACAGCAGAAATGATCAGCTGCAGCCGCTGTGTTTTCTGTGGCAGAAACTGAGGTCTGGCTGTTGGGCTGCTCCAGTTGCTGTAGTGGTGACAGCAAGCTGTTGTTATGTGCCAGGCAAATGTGTGCTGGGAGCACATCTGTGCCAAGCATTGTACTAAGCATCTTAATGGATTATCTTCATTCAAAATAGCTCTGGGATGCCTGCTATTATTACTCATTTTGTATGTGATGAAATGGAACCTTAGAGACCTAAGCAATGCACTTTGAAGTCACATAGCTAGGAATTGATAGTCCTGGGCTTTGAAGCTTGGCCATCTGGTTCTCCTGTTTGTGACCTTAATTCCATTGATCTACTGTCAATAGGTAGTTAATTGTGGAATGGATGCTAGAGATCTCTCCTGCTGAATCCTAATTGGTTTGGGTACAGCTAGCTTTCCCTGACTGGTGCTTCCTGATAAGTAAATGACTATGTCATAACAAAATTTTATTAGAGACTCATTTTCATAATTGCTTTTCTGGCCCTAATGAATATGCCTTTTAACTAATGCTTTAGCTCTTGATAGGTGAGCATGGCAGTATCCTGTTTCTGAAATAATCATTGTCTATCTTTCCAAAAGACAGAAACAGTTCTCAGTCTGGGTTAGAACTGTTTCATCTTTTCTGTGTATTAGAGTTAAAATTCTTCCCAGTTTATCTACAGTGTTAGTTCCTTGTTCAAAAATACATTTGAGTTTTCACTGCACTCCTGAGGTATTTTTTACAAACATGTTTAGTCTAGTATTATTATTGTTGTAGGGAAATGGGCATAGATTTCCACAAATGTCAGTTTTTATATCAATATCCAGGTTTTAAAAAATAATAATACTAATAATGGAGGGCTGGCAAGATGCCTTAATGTGGGAAAAGACTTGCTGAGGACCTGAGTTCAATTCCTGGATCCCACATGGTGGAAGGAAAGAACCCTGTTCTTCAAATTGTCCTCTGATCTCCGTGTTTGAGTTGTGGCATGCACATAAACACACACACATTTTTTACACAACGGTGGGAAAAGTGATAGAGTTGCATATCAGAAAAGGTGTAGGTTATACTCTTCATCCTTGTTAGTGGAATTATAATTTTTCTTTCCACAACTGGAATGTAAGAGGGACTTTAATAAGACGTTTACCTCTACTAACTCAGTGTAGTTTTCTCTGTAGTGTGGTAATATCACTGCTGTTTAGTTTCTTAACAAAAAAGAAAAAAACAAAACTTTCCTCTAGAGCATTTCGCTTTTTTTTTTCCCTGCAGAGAGCCCTATTAAAATGAAAGTGTCTTGAGTATCATGGCGGTTGGGCTAGTTCTTAGTTCAATATTCATAAATACAAATGGCATTTCATATACTTTGGATTGTTTACATTAAATGAACACTGGTCTAATAATGGGCCTCTTGTTTAAAAGCTGTGTGCATGCATGCATTTACACAACAAAGACAGAGGAAGAAAGGGAATTGACGACCAACAGTCTGATCTTATTGGAGGGGCTTTGTATTCTAGGCAGGGCACTGAGTTGTCTTTTTTCTGTGGTTTCATAGTAGTTAAAAAGAAAGAGGGTACTAAGTAACTTTTATGTTTCTACGGCATAGTCCTATTCCTCAAAAATCTAAAAATGTGTTTCAGGGGCTTCAGTCATTAACTGTTAACACCCAGAACTCGCCAAAAAGACGGCTTGGGCACTTGTAAGATAGGGATACAGATGCACAGATGGCTGTGGCTCAATTTTCGCCCAAGACAGTCCCAGATTTTACACAGCGTTAGTGATCAAGTACATTCATTGACTTCTAGATCATTATGGTAAATTCTCTAAACCTACTTGATAACCCAGTCATCACCATTCCCTAAATGGAAGCCAGAGTGCTAGGAGCCTTGAGTGGGAACACCTGTAACCTATCAAAGGCAGTAACAGTCCTGGAAGAGGATTGGGGGGGGGGGGTAGTAGCTACTCTGCACTATCTGGCTTTCCAATTAAGTAACTTAAGCTTTCCTTCCTATAGGGAACAACCCTTAGATAAAACTAAACCAGTTCCTGTTACACCAACAGTTTCCGTGCTGTTAAAAGCCATGGGGCCCTCCAGAACTGGAGATTGCTCGATAATAATGGGTGAGCATGTGTCTGGCTTCTCTGTGTAGTATATCTATTGTCTGACTTCCCTAATTTCTTGTCCTTTCATGGGAATGCAGGTTAATTCAGCTCCTGAATCTTTCCAGCAAGAAAAACCTGTAATTTGCCTTAGTGAAGAACAGATGAGCCCGGTGCCTACCTCTACTGTCCCTCCATCCTGTGTTTGAGACCCTAACCTTGTTCATCACTAGTTGGTGTTAAATCCTTGTTTCTGCTTAAGAGCCGGAAATGGTTGTTTATTGTTTAAGGTCCTCTTCCTCCACACCCTGCTTTGAATGCCAGCATCTTTCCACTCAAGCAGACTGACCCACTGCTTGAGGCCAGGAAGCAGCGAACACAGCCTAACATCAGCCGGTTTCTCTCGTTTCCCATCCTGTGGTGGCAACACTACATATTAAGGTTAACTAAAAATGATGGGGAGAGACGCTCAGCCCTTAATAGTACTTGCTGCTTTCACAGAGGGCCCCGTTTTGATTCCCAGCACCCACAGGGTGGCTCACAGCCATCTGTAACTCCACTTCTGAAAGAGGTGATGCCATCTTCTGTGGGCACCAGGCACATACGATACACACACATTCTTGTATGTTGACCCCTAGCTATTGTTCAGGTGAGAACTAGACTTGGTGGCATGCACCTTAGTCCTGGTGCAGCAGAAGCAGAGCCATGAGAATCCCGGGTTTCACTGATCAGCCAGTCCAGCTAGTCGATGAGTTCCACATTCAGTGAAAGACCCTGTCTCTTAAAATCGGGTAGAGTGATTGGCCTGGACGCTAGCTTGCGGCTGCACAGATGTGTACTCTGTACATATACATACCCAAAAAGAAGTTGAGTTAGGAACTCTGGAGTTGGTAACAGAAGCCCCAAGCCTTGGTGTATGTCTGTTTCACTTTCCTTAACACATAGTTTCCATCTTCAGGCTTGTGTCACAAGCCAGGGGCACTGAGGTTAGAAGACCATTGTGTCACCATTGCCTCCTGTGTGGAAAAGGAGCTTTCCCTGAGTTCCACCAGCCAATTTCCTGTCCTTACATTCAGAATGTTCAAGAGTTGCTGGCTCCAGATAAAATTGATGTTTTACAAAGAAAGGTATAGTGTATATTGAGTAGGCAACTAATAAAAATGGGTCACACAAATACTTTTTTTTTCCCCAGTACTAAAGATTTCACTATAGTGAAGGCAAACTGTTTCCATTACAGTTGAGACCAATTAGTGTTCAGATGAATCCTCTAGCCTTGGGGCTGAACTGGATGAGAGTTCAGTGGATAATGGGTTGTACTCTGAAGACCAACATGCAGCCATACCTGAAGTGGGCTTGTCAGAAAGCTGTAAGGATTTTCAATTTTTTTGACCTATCTCAGTCCATAGAATGTCATAATTAATCCAACTCCCCAGGAAGAGTGCCCCAGATATTTATTATTAGATTACAATGAATGAAATTAAGCCCAAGTGATTTAGTATATGTTAAGCAGGGACTCTTCCCTGGCTTTCCTCTGCCTCTGTTCAGAAGAGACCAGTGGCCTACTCCCCTTGCCCTGGGTATTCTTGTAGAGATCGTAGGCAGGCAGCTGAGAGTGAGAGCCTTCACTCCGCCACTCTCTGGAATTGAGCACCTAGGCCAGGTCTTCTATTGTGACCTTGCCACTTTCTATTTGGCTTTCCTTCTCGAGATACCAAAGCCAACACTGCTGTCTCGATTGCCAGTTGTCACCTCCAAGACAGGCTTCATGGTTTTCCTTCTTAGTCTTGATGTATTGTGCCAGAGTACATGTTAACAAGCCCAACTGTCATCATTGTCATTCATCCAGCAATGCCAGCCATGGAGCATAGGTCTGTTTCTTTGTCCCGATGGTTAGAATGGCACTGCACAGTGGTTGGTGCTGAGCTGGGTGACAAGGAGCATGGTACTCTGTACCATTGAGGTCCCAAGCTCCACAGAGTGATATATACTCCAGAGCCAGGTGGAAATCCCCACTACTGTGAGACCGAGCAAGTTCCTCATCTGCACTGTTCAGTTTGTCTAGAAGTTCATGATCATCTACATATGCAACAGGAAATGACTAATGTTTCCTCTCATTTAGTGAGAATCTGTAGCAAAAACGCCGTAGACCTGAGCGGGGAAACTGGAAACCCTTTCCTTATGAACTGATTTTTAACTATAGTCTAGCAGTTGTAGCACAAACATGTAAATTTCTCCCATGTTAGCCAAATAGAAGTAACTTCATCGTCTTTGTATGTGATATAATGAAGGCCCTGAAGTAAGTAAAGTTACCCTCCAGTGTCACATAAATATAAAAGACAGCAAAGGGCCTTTGGTGCCAGGTCTCTGGTGCCAGAGATGTTAGACCTACAGTCCCTGGGTAAAGAGTGTTTCTTTGACGTTCTTACATTTACATTGGTTTAACTGTACATCCAACCCCTCTGGTAGTGACACCTTCTCTATGGTGGTGACATTCGGTTTGTAATAGCAGCGCCTTCCCTGTGATAGAGACATTCTCTCTGGGACAGTGGTACCCTCCCTGTGATGGTTACACTCACTCACTAGGATAGTGTCACTGTGTTGTGAGTTTTCCCATTCTCTCTGATGGGTCGGTCCTTCAGGCTGCTTTGTAGTGTGTTGTATGTGTTTTGTTCGCTGAAACAATACTGGTATGTTTTGACCGAGCCCTCCTAGCCTCACCCCTGGTCTTTGTGCGGTGTACATGAAACTGTCTAGCTGATCACCTGCTGTCTCTCTCCCTCCCCTCAAATTGCCTACATTTGCAGCTAATTTTAGACATCTTCACTATATCCCGTGAACACCTGAGCCTGCATGTCTAAAGGTAGATTTTTCTACACCATATGTCATTTTGGAATGACTGGATGAAATAACTGAAATCCTCCCTGTCTCGCAAACCAAAAGTATTGCCGTTGGAGATGAAGTATGGAGGTGGTAAGGACTTACACACCTTGCTGAATTATGCAAGAGGGCATTTCCACAAAACGACTGTGCCTGTTAAAATCCTTTAAGAAGTTAAATTCCTCAGCTGGGCTGAGGCTCATGGAACACAATAGTTGAGGCGGGAAGATTTAGTGCACTTGAAACCAGCTCAGATTCAGAGCCTGCGTCACGCAAACAGAAACATTCCTTCAAATGAGCAGCCTGCTCGCCCTGCCTCCCACCACCACCTCCCTTAAGTTCATTGTCTTCTCTTGTTTCGGGACAGGATTTTGCTATGTAGCTCTGGCAGGCTGAAACTCACTAGGCAGACCAGTCTGCCTCTGCTTCCCACCAATGGGGACGAAAGATGCGACATCAATATTGTTCTTTGTATTGCGCCCTCCTCTTGGTGGCCATGTGTCCACTTCACTGCTGTAGGGACTTGCTTGTGTGTTTGTCCCCTGCACCCTCCCCTTTCCCTGGGTGATTCCATAATGACTAGGTGGGAGTCTGTTTGATTTACTGGCAGGTGTTCAGCCGTCACAGAAGGACTAGCAGAGCAGTTCAGTGAAGGTGGGATTATCATTATCTTCCCACACTACTAAATTAATACCAGGTACTCTGTCATTTAAAAATCGGGTTTTTTTGTTTGTTTGTTTGTTTGTTTCGTTATGCAACAAGTTGGTTTCCCTTAGCTTTCTGTTTGGTTAGCCCAAAGTTATTTTTACCCTAGAATTATGAGAATGTAGTTATGACAGATAACCACACTACATAAAGATGTTTATCCCACCTAAGATAAAACGTTAAGTCGGTGTTTGCTGCTGCAGCATTATTAATAGGTTTCTTCATCTCCATTGCACACTTGTTATAAACAGAAATATTTATAGCACTGTGGTCAAAATAAGGAGAAGCTAAATTGTCTGCTGTTAAAATGCCACATTTGAGTGGTTCACATTGGTCTGAACTACAAGGTAAAATTTTAGCTTTTGACAGCAGAGTTAAAGAATCTTAGAAAAATCCTTAAAAAATACTTACCTGGAGCTTGAGAGTCAGTGATTCAAACATAAGCTGTTCTATAAGTAGTCTGGGGTCTCTTCATCTTTTCTTACCTGTAAGAAAACCAGTTTCTCAGTCTGAACCTTAACTGGGAAGATGGTGATTGAGAAGACAAAAACAGTTGAGACAGTTACTGAGACTCTTGCTTCTGGATCCACTACATCTGGCTGGCTTGTCTCCATTGATGTGGTTGCTGCTATTTTCAGGCTGTCTTCGAATAACATTCATCTTTTTAGTTTTCCCATTGAGACACTGTCACTCTTCTTGAAAGTTGGTGTCCCTGTATGCCACATGGAAGTGGATATTTAAAAGTGCTAAGTCTGTTGTTTCATAGTTATGCTATATTGCATCATAATGTAGTTTTTATGATAACATTGATACAAAACATAGAATAAATGTTAGAACAATGAATTAAACTTATTTAAAGTGGACCACTTGAATGTGTAGGATTATTTAAGAAAACATGGTGTGATTTTATTTAATTTTGCCACTTTATTTTTTTTTCTTTTTCGTTTGTTTGTCTGTTTGTTTGTTTTTCGAGACAGGGTTTCTCTGTGTAGCTTTGGAGCCTGTCCTGGCACTCACAAGAGATCCGCCGGCCTCTGCCTCCCGAGTGCTGGGATTAAAGGTGTGCACCACCAACACCTGGCTAATTGTGCCACTTGAAATTATCTGACTTTGGTGTATTTTAATGTACTTAGGAAATAGACCTAGTCTTTTTATTCTATGTGGTTACAAACTTAAGTGTCCTCCATTGTGGTGAGGCTCCCAAAAAGATGGCTGGGGCTTCTAGCCATGCCCTTGTTCTAATCCTCTTAATCAGTTGTCTGTGGCTGAGCAGCCCTGTCCTAGGCAGTAGCCTGCCCAATATGGTTACATTTCAATGAATTAAAATGAAACTCAAATTCAGAGTTGAGTTCCTGGGTCACACTAACCTCATTTCTGATATTAAATATCAATGTGGCTGGTGTTTGCAGTCTTTAATATCTTAGATAGAGCATAGACATCACAGACAGCTCCCTGCTTAAAACATCAGGTATACAAATTAGAGAGTAGACTTGTGTGGGTTTTTGTACTCTTTTAGTAATAAACAGTTGTTATGTAGGTGTGTTTCCCCAACTTTCCAACTGTTTGAATGAGAAAGTAGAACTCCACAGGAGAAGGATACTCTTGTTTGCTTTGTTTTTGAAATCATTTGTAATTTATATACACTATCAGTACATACATGTACTTGTACCTTGATGTCTCTGTTATTTGATGGTGAGGTTTCTATTTTGACATAACTTCTCTGAACTCTTGGCTAACTGAAGTTTTCGGTTATAATTTGTTGATTGAAGTAAGCTGTTTTGATTACCTGCTTAATCCTCTTAACACACAAAATCTTCAGCTTGGCAAAACCAGCCCAGAGCAGAAATCTGTTGCCTCATAAGACCACCTGTTGTGTGTTTTTCTCAAGTCAGGGTTCTCAAATATGGGAAAGTCACTGAGCCCATAGGTGTGCTGGCTAATGTGATCGCCAATAATTCCATCTGCTACACAATGCAGAAATACCCAGTTACCTTGCTTTTAAATGCTATGTCAGGACCTTGAACACGGCAGACTTTATTTAGTTGTTTAAGTGGCACTTGAGTTTGCTAAACCTGGGAGAGGTACAAGAATAGGGTTCTCCTTTATCACAGTATCCCTGCAGGCACAGGGAGCAGCTGCTCCAGCTTTCTAAGCAGGAACCTGTCTTGGGGAATTCAGACCCACCTTTAGTGTCATGTCTAACCATGGCAGGATAGACAACCTGAGCATCCTTCCACTCATGGCAATGCTTGGCAACAATAAAAGAGGAGTATCCTTTTGAACCATAGCTTGCCTTCTGCTTGCTAAACAAATTCATACTAATGTAGTCAGAATGGGTGTGTCAAAGCTTTGTTCTAACCAGTCAATCCAGACAAACACCACTACAATCAGAATACACATTGAGTTGACCTGACCTGGCTCCAGAGCCTTTGATGTCACAGATATGTGTGAATCCACTCAGGCATTGGTATGGACTGTTTTTATTTGAAGAACACATTCTCTGTTCTCATGATAGTTGCTTCCCCTCTATATAAGCCAGTGTCTTAGAGAATTGACTTAATAGCAACCAAGAAATCAGTAATTGTGTATGAATGCAATGTTTTGTTCTATCTCCCCTTCCCTCCCTCCCAAACAAAATTTGTGTAGTATGGACCCACTCAGTGCCACCCCTACTACTGACATGACCTCTTTTATGTTCTGTTTATCGATTTGTTCCTCAAGTGGACTTCATTTTAATCTCCTCTAATGGAACGATATGCATGTCCAATCATTTTTATAATTAACAATTGTTTTAAAAAAACATGCCAGTACTTAACATATGTGAGTATTTCTACTGTCTTAGCAAGGTAAATTAATCGAAAGAAAACAGTTTAAATCCTGGAAAATTATCTAAGCCATAACTAAACTCTCTTGCTCAATTAAAACAAAAACAAAAAACCCACCCTGCCAGTAGGAAAAACCTACAAAATCAGAACAGGATCTAGTTGATAACTAAATGTTCACCAGGTTGTCAGGTAATGTGATTGAAGAACACATGAAGTAAAGCTGTGTAGCATCAGTGGGGACAGTGTGAGAGACCATGTTTGTCGTCATTGGGGACAGTGTGAGATCATGTTTGTCATCATTGGGGACAGTGTGTGAGATCACGTTTGTCATCATTGGGGACAGTTTGAGACCATGTTTGTCATCTTTGGGGACAGTGTGAGAGACCATGTTTGTCGTCATTGGGGACAGTGTGAGATCGTGTTTCTTCGTAAGACCATCTAGTACATCTCCTAGACAAAAGTTGCTTAGTTGATTTCACCTCTAGTTAACCATAAATATGATCTGCAAGAGGTTAGAATGGATGGGACGAGAAGTACAACTCTGTAAGAGTTTTGGCATCCGTGGCTTTTTTTTTTTTTTTTTTAATGACTTTTGGAGTTACCTCTCTTTTAGAAAGAAGCGTTTTAGTCACACAGTAAGCAGATTAAATAAGAGCCCAGGAATAGCCTCAATTTTAAGAGTAACAGTGGCATTTACACATAAATACTCATATTGCAGTAGTTTTTGCCCCTCTGGGGGTTTTGATAGGCAATTTTATTTTAAAGAGAGAGTTAAAGTATGTGATTGTGAAGACAACCTGCCAGGTGGGTAATCAGGAGAGTTTTTAGGACATAGAAGGAAGGTTTAAGTATAAATTATGTGTTCTGGTTTGTTTTCTATTGCTGTGATAAAAACAGTTTGTCAACTGTGTCAGGTTGACAGCTGAAGCTATGACAATCCATCCCTTGTCACCTTGACACACCACTTTAAACCATAACCTTTCCTTTTGCATTTGTCCCTAAGATCTTATTGTTAATATTCGGATAAAATACAGTACAGCCTTAAAAGTCCTACGTCTTTTAAAAATTCTGTCACTCTGAGAGATGGTGGCTCATGCCGTTAATCCCAGCACTAGGGAGGCAGAGGCAGGTGGATCTCTGTGAGTTCGAGACCAGCCTAGTCTACAAGACAGCCTCCACAGCTGTTCCAGGACAGCCTCCAAAGCCACAGAGAAACCCTGTCTCAAAAAACCAAAAAATTATAAAAATAAATAAAAAATTCTATCACTTAAAATTTCAGTTTCTCTTTAAAATTACAGTCTCTTAAGTTTGGGCTCCTGGAAAATCCAAAGTAAGTTAAATACTTTGTTATTTTAAAAGGAAAGAACCAGGGCATTAAAAGAAAAAATCATACTTAAGTAAAACCAGAGTCCAGCAATGTAATTATAAAATCTGGTAGCTCAGTGCCTGAAATCTGGGACTCACTTGTGAGCTTGGCTCCAAAGGGCTGTGGCAGCTCCCCTTCTCTGACTTTGCCATCCATCAGTAGCCCACATGCTTATCTCCTAGATAAAGACATCTTCAGTCCACACCTGCTGCTGCTGCTGCTGCTGCTGCTGTCCTTAGTAGCTGCTCAACAGTCCTGGCCTCTCCAATATCCTGGGTCTCCAAATGCAGCCAAGACTACACCTTCACCAGTAGCCTCCTCTGACCTCTCACAGTGTCATGCCTCAGCGTTTGTCCTTGACAACTTCAGTCCTGAGGTCTCTGATAATAGAAGTAATCATTTCTCCAGTGTTAATGTGAAATGGTAAATTAGAAAAACACATGATCACTGAAGAGTTTGTGTAAAGTACTCATGGTATTATTGTTTTATTTCTTTGTTTGCTTTTGCGTGGGATAAAGAATGTTCGCAGATATTTCCAAATTAAATTTCAAAATTTAACGAGGTAAAAATTTTATTATAATTTAACCAAAAATGTTAAAGGCTCAAGGCTCACTTGATAAGCAGGAGTTTATATGAATCAGCCCTTGTTGTATTCTTATATGAATTGCTATTTAAAATATATAATGAAGTAAACTTTATGATTTTCTTGGCAGACTGATACCACAGGCATCTATTTATGTATTACTGCCACTCACCACTTAGAGTGTCATCCTCTAGACTAAAGCATAGGAATGACTTCACTGACAGGTGCCCTTAATTATCCTGAGTAAGCGGCTTAAACTGCCTACTACCCTTTAAGTAAGATGGTAAAACTGCAGGCAAGCAGTCTGTACATGACAGTTGGTAACATAAGGCTTTCATTGTTGGTGTTGATGCTGCTGCTGTTTGAATATCCTTTTAACTTTCCCAGACGTAGTTAACCACTTCTTATTGCATGGCAGACATTAGGACCAGGGATTGCTGATGAGTAAGCAAGATAATGACCCCTTTCTACACAGAACTTACCTGGCAAGAAACAAAAGCAAGTGAAGAGGCCTTGGCAAAACCCTGGTGTAATAACTAACCTAGGTGTGGAGGTTAGAGAAGGCGCCTTAGAGGAAGTGAGAACTAGAGAGAAGATGCTGGTAATGGCCCAGGTTGGCAGTGGGTGAAGAGGGGGCTAAGATTTG